CAATAGTTTAAGTTCCATCTATCAATATTTTCTCCTGTATAGAATTATTTTTTTTAAAAGAGCAAACTGAACTACTCACACTATTCAAAATGTAGTGTACACAAGAATTATACAATTCTTGTGTAATAAAGATATGAGACAGGCTGTGACAGTGTCACTTCTTAATTTTCATGCTCATAGGAGCAAACAATTTAAACACATATTTGTTCATTTAAAACTAGACATTTGTTAAAAGGCGGTTTTACTGTATATGATGCAATGTAAGTCAAATATGCAAAGATACATTGTCAGAAATCATAATTTTATTTACAGAATTTAAAACACCTGTATCCTTAAGTAGCCTATTGAAGCCAAGATTTTTACTGTATACTGAAGAATGACTTTTCCTGTGCTATGAATTGCTTCCAAAATGATGGACACATTATTCATATCCACATATATGATTTTTTTAAAATCCTGCTCTAATTTATGTAATTATATCTTTCCATATGTTTGGCTGTTTAGCTGGTTTGGAAATATTTCTTTAATATACTTCATAGTATATGAAACATTCTACATTTTGACCCAGGATAAATTGTTTCTGACACCACGTGCAAAGAACTTTTGGAGTATTAGTCCTCAAGACTAAGGAGTTTGCCTGAATCTTAACAGGAATATACTAAAAGTTCATTGTATGGAATAAAATACGTGTCGCCCTCTCTGTTAAACTTCATGAAGCATCTGGACCTTGTTATTGTCTGGCTGTATTTAACCACTTATGTAGTTGAGAAGCTATGAATGGAAATATTCCCTAAATTTGTAATTCATAAATGTTCTGAAATACTAGTCCTTGTAATGGAAAAAGGACTAAATGAACTTTAGTTATAGCTCGTGGGAGGCAAGTTCTAGGGGTTTTTAAAGGATTTTGTAATTCTTTTCAAATAATAGTCATCAATATTCTTCAAACTACTAGTGATAATTAAAAAACTTTAAATATAATTCAAACAAAAATGTAAATAGAAGTAAAAAAACATGCAAAGGGAGAAAGAAAAAAATAGTGGAATTTTTCTTATTTTCTAAATAGAATGTAATAGTTATGTCTTTATACAACTTAATACAACTCAGTTTTCTAAAGAAGAAAAAGAACCTTGAGAACATAGAAGTATATTGTCTAATATGGCTCAATGGCCACTTCTGGCCCTTGCATTGTCCCTGTCCAGGACACTCTTGATAAATAGACAAGTTCCAAATTTTAGGAATATAACTGAACAGTGTAATATTTTTAAATGTTTACTTCTTCCACTATCTGTTAAGAAATCTACAAATAATCTGATGTTTTCAGTGGTCCGATGCCCTTGCATAAAACCAGTTTGTGCAGGATGATTGATAATAATACCTTTGCAATAATGCCAAAGCAATAGTCAGAATCTTAGCCATCTGCATTTAACAAAAGATATTGGATGGTAACTTGCACAATTTATGAGGTTTTGTATATAAAACCTTATATCTTATATAAGCCTCATTTGGCGAGGACAGGGTCCTTTTTTTTCAAATATATATAAAACTATATAGGATGTAAGTTCTTCTTACAATTCCATTGAATCGGCATACAAAATATTTGTTAGATGATACTCAGATTTTTGATCAACCACAAAAAGGTTGATAAGAGTTTTTTCCTCAAATAAATAATTGGTTGACAAATGAAATTGGTTGACTAGGGATATTTTCAGAGATTTATATGATATAAACTACATCTCCCTCTCCCTCCCTCCCTCTGTGTGTGTGTGTCTGTGTGTGTGTACACTCATGTTGGTTAGGGTTGGGGTATTTTTTTAAGCTTATATTTTTCTTGATTGTACCACATAGTGGCGATAGAGCTTACTTTGATATAAAATCTTTAGAGATGTAGAGATGTTGGCAAAGAATTGAGACTTCTCTGGCAAGGAAGATGGGAATGACTCCAAGAAACAATAGTTAGTACCAGTAAGTGTCTTCACTTGCTTTCTAGTACCTGTCCTAAAGGTTTTCCTTTGGCAGTCACCTATTATTTCCTCCAGCTCTATCTACAAATACACGATGGAAGCAGCAAAATTAGAAAATGCAGACTAAAAGCTTTTTACAACTTTGGTCTTATCAAGAATTAATATTAAAGCTGGCCAGGCCTAGTAGGATAAGTGGCATCTCATGATACAAACCTTATAATTGAGATCCTTGATAGCACTACATTTATAGTGCAATAATATAAGTTATATTAAATGTACCTACTAGGGACAGTAGACTGGGTAGAAACGTATCTGAAGAAATAGAGTTTAGTATGAGAAAGACTAAACATTGTGTCAATGCTATTAAAGGTATATGTTTGGCTTTGGATCTTATTATCAATTTGTTAATTACATTTCTAGAGTAGAAAGCTGCATATCTCTTGCAATAGCTGATGTGATTTTTAATTAGAACATTAGCTTTTGTTTTCCAATGCAAAAAAATGGTGTATAAGGAAAAATTAGCTAGGAGCTCAGGGTTGAAAGGGAGATAAATTAAGTAACAGAAGTTTGTTCAGAATCTTAAAGAGAACAGTGGAATAAATCTCCTAGTTTGAGGAAACAGGAATGAGAGAACTCATTGAGAACTCACAACTCTGAGGTGGCATAAATTCTCAGAACCAGAATAGCAGTAGCATTTAGATTTTTATACCGCTTCAAGGTGGCTCAGTGGCTAAGATGCTGAGCTTGTCGATCAGAAAGGTTGGAGGTTCGACTCCCTAGTGCTGTGTAACAGAGTTAGCTTCCATTACTTGTCCCAGCTTCTGCCAACCTAGCAGTTCGAAAGCATGTAAAAATGCAAGTAGAAAAAAACAGGAACNTTCCTTCTTTCTTTCTTTCTTTCTTTCTTTCTTTCTTTCTTTCTTTCTTTCTTTCTTTCTTTCTTTCTTTGGAAAGTGGGTGTTATTACTGTTTTCTTAAATAAATAATTATATTTACCCTAGTTGCAATCAGCCTATTTTAAGTTTGCTTTGGAGGATATGTAAGCTTCACAAAAAAATAGTATCCCAGCAGGGGGCAGTCAGGCACAAGGTTGATTATTTTCAGGCTTAAAATCAGCTTTTCTTTGTTTGGAATCGGGGAAATTTCATCTATTAAGAAAAAGTTTTAAAGTGGTGGCAATTTGGGGCCTAGTATCTTTTGAGCAAACACTTGCAGTTAAGCTAGTGGTAAGCTAGAGAAAACACAGAGCTGTTTGTGGAAGTACAGCGGGTTGAGCAGAAAACCAAATGTGCTTCTGAGGGGCCCAGAGAAGGGGAGAGGGTGGGTGGAAAATGGATGTGGCTGCGCAGTCACTCACATTCTGAAATGAAGGAGCCAGCAGCAGCCTCTTGTCATGCCTGACACTGGGCTTTCCTGTTTTCTTGAGCCTTCTCCTGCCCCCTCCTTTCATTACCCTGCTTGTTAATTAGCGCTGGCTCCATGGAGATATTTACCTTTTCTCTATGGATTCCTGTGGTTTTCAAAGAATTCAGGTACTTGCTGTGAGCCAAGCAATTCAGATTACCTCATAGGCTGTATTGTGGCCAGAGTCTGTTACAGCAGTCCAGTACTTCTCACAATAACCCCTGCCTGGCAGGCCCTTGATATTTTAGGAACAGAGATAACTTAGGAAGTGGGGAAATAACAACAGGTTTCATGAGCAATGTCTTAAAAAAAGCAAATGTATCATTTTGAGCGGCAATCCTTTGTACTTCTTTCTAATGCAGATTAATTACATTAGGATTAAACTGGTTGCAGCTGTTGGCCACCAAGATCAGAGTGTCAGGTTTACTGTGAAGATGTAGGAACACCCTTGATTGATGGGTTAAAAAGAGAAAGAAAGGAAGCTGGAATGATAGTTGGAATTTGGAAGAGGAGTCAAGATGTGAGATGAGACAGATCTGACTGGGATTAAGAATAGAGGATTGGAGAGGGGGGGGGGGGGGCAGAATTCAAAATTGGAGAAAGGGGAATCATAAATGTCTTTGAATTGGAAACTACCAGATCCTGGACAGTGTTTTATTTTACAGTAGTATGTTACCCTTTTGAGCTTTTCAGTTACCATAATAATATTCTGGTGCCCCGAGAAACTTTACATTCTGTCACTTATTTATAATCTGTCCATCCTCATTGTATTTAACTGATAAAAGTGATTTTGAAACATTTCCTGCATTGAGATAAGAATGTGACACAAGAGAGTGACTCAACAGTAATCCCTGCCTGTGATTGAACAGAACAAAACAATGAATGCGGTAATGCTCTGCTCCTCAGTGCTTTCTCTTGATTGTGGAATGTATGTTTCTCACTTCAATAAGGCTGCAAACAAAGCATTCTGACTTGGTAGAGGGGAAGAGGCAGAAAAAAGAGGATAGCTATTGCAAGTGTGTTTTCAGGTTCCACTTAACTGTATATATATTTAACTGAATATAGTGCTGCATAAAGCTTTTCTTGTTTCATGCTAAGGGGAGGGGATTGTAACACAAAGCAGTAAATGTTTATGCTGTTAAATACTTTGAGAATGAGAATTTACAGATGGCCTTATTGTATCAGTAATAGAAAGCAGTCATTATCTTTGTTTCAAGGAATTCCTTCTTGAATTTTGATTTCTGTTGCTTAAATTACTCAATCTGCTGAACGCCCATGTCTAATGGTAACAACCATCCTATTGTAGTAGTAGTATTAGTATTAGTAGTACTTAGTGTTTGTCCCACCTGGTTACAGGTCCTGCTTGCATTGCCTTCTCTGTAGTTCTTCCAATGAAGCTGTTGATGTATGATGCGGGTTTTTCAGCTGACTTATTGCAGANGCAGTCAGCTGAAGTAGCCTGCAGTGCTGCATTTAACCACTGCGCCACCTCGGCTCTTTTAGAAATTTGAAGATAATTGATAGTGAGTTAATGAACCATAAGAAAGCAGTTCTGTTTTCTGTTTTGTTGTTATTGTAGTAAATGTTGTATATTCAAGCTCAGGAAATATTTCTATTTACTGGCACTTGACCATTAAATGGTCCTTGAAAATATCTTCTATATCATATCCTTAAATAGATTCACCGTTCTGAATAATTTCTGGCAACTAAATATGGTTGTGCCTGTTTTTAGACTTCAAATTTGATGTGCGGCTTTATGTTTTGGTGACATCCTATGATCCCCTGGTCATCTATCTCTATGAAGAAGGTTTGGCTCGGTAAGTCTTGATTTTGTGTCTTATGATGTATATAACTGTATGTCTTACCATGTGAAGTAGCAGAGCAGGAGTCATAAACTTTCTTTTTGTGTGTAAGTTGGGAACAGCAAGAGACTGGTTGATCTTATAGTTCTTCTGAACTTTTGAAAATTGAAAATTATGAAGAATAATTCCTAAAAATGTTAGTACCTCTTACTTTGAGTTACTCGGTCTTCTACTTTCATCTCAGAGAATTTAACTCTTTAAATGATGAGCTATTGGCATTCAAGTAATGGTGAAGAAATTCTGAATATATATAGTAATATATGAAGTATATTTTCCTGTCTTTGGCTTCTGGCAACAGTAGCAAATTTTAAAGATACTTTGCTTGCTAATATTTTTGCGTTTCCTAAATTTTATAGAATTATAAAAGTAAGAATTGGAAGAGATCCTGGAGAATAAGTGGTCTCTATTTCCACATCTTAGACAGATGACTAGCTTCTATTTAAACATCTGTTCCATGACAGTCTACTCCATTGTTGGACAAATAAATATTTTTTCCTGATCAAAATCTGCTTTCTTTTCATTTAGATCAATTGATTCTTGTCATATAGAATCACTCTTAATAGTTTTGTCCCACCATCTACATGCTAGCTCTTTAGGTATCAAGATAGCCTTTCAGTTTTCATGTCTTCCTGTTGCCTTGTATCCTAGCTAAACATTTGCAGTACTTTCAGCTGTTCTTCATAAGTTGTTCTTATAAGAATATTTATCTTCTTGATTACTGTTTTCTGGACATACTTCCCTTCCAAAATGGATTTCTCCAATCAGGACACAATATTCTGGATGCTGTTTGCCCAGTGCAGAATAGAAGATAATTTTTTCTATTGTAAATGTTTTATTCATTTTCATTTTCAATTTTATACATTCACTTATATACTGGATATTGGCAATAATAATA